GCATCATTAATCCCCAATGATGCAAGTCAGATTAATAGTGGCCTGGCTGGGGGTGGGGGTGCCTATGACCGCTGAGTGGTAAAGTGGTGCTTGCCTTGAGTGAAGTGATTATTCAGGTGGAGACACTGGTAAAACTCACTGAAATGTATGCTAAAAATAGATCCTTTTTATTCTATAGAAATTATACCTTAGTAAGAATGATTTAAAATGATTTCTGTAATAACAAATGGATTCGTGAATTAATAGAAATCCCCAGTCATTCCATATATTCTCAATCAATGGATTCTAGAGATGCAACTCATCTTTGGGTTCACTGTACACGTCTAGATAAGATGCAGTGGTCCTCTAATGTAGAAAGGTTGAGGCTGGGTTAGATGACACTGGAAGTCCTTGGAACTCCATTGCTGGGGTCTTAAATACCACATGGCTGGTCACTAAATGCCTACACCTCACTCTTCTTTTCCCTTGGTCCTCTCATGAGCCAATCAATTCGCTGCCGTGGCTGACAATGCTGTGTCAGCTCAGTGAAATTGCACGGTTGACCCCAAGCTGCTCTTGGGAGCCCCGCGCTCCCAGCAGTTGCCAGCAGTTGGAACAGTGGGTCTATTTCTGGAGCAGCACTTCTTGAGAGAGGCACTCTCTGCTCAAAATTAATGGGTTAGGAATTAACTCAGCGGAGAAACTGGCAACACGCTTATTTGCGAGGGTTTTATCAGTTTGTTTTCTTTTTTTGGAGCAATCATTCACAATTTAAAGTGATTCATTGCTTTTTGGTTCTGAAAGATTGAAAATGCAGAGTGTGGCAAATGATGAATCCCCACCCCCCATGTACTGCTGTACAGCTGTTATTGAAGCACCTTATGTTAACTCAGCGCTTTCTGCTCTGACTTGAAATTCTCCTCAATACATAGGTAAAACTGTTCATGGTCAAGATATCTGAAATAAGTGAAAATGAGGAAGGCTGAATCCTGAGTCAGGTTTTGTTTTACACTCTAATTTCTGCCACTGTCATTGCTATCCTCACTCAGCTTAAGGGGCCTTCCCAGTCAGTTGTCAAGTGGATAAAAAGGTGAGCACAGATTAGGGGCTAACATTTATTGATCTACACATCTCTCATATAATCCTCATAAGAGCCCACAGACATGATACTACTGTTATCCATATTTTATAGATGAAGAAATTGGGGCTGAGAGAGGCCAAGTGATTTGCTTAAGGTCACAGAAATACTGGAGTTGTCATGCCACTTTTAGAAGGCACAGAACCCAGAACCTGACAGAATAAGGAGTCAGGTATGGAAAGGAGCACATAAATAACTATCAGCACTTTGGGTTTTCTATGGGTCTTTCGGAATTGAAGGTCAACTCTTAGCTTTCCATAGAATTTGTTTTCCAGGTAATCAGTAGCTGTATTCAGGGTTACTGCATCACCCTGTGGTCATGACAGGAATTGCAACTCCCCAAAGTCTCAGAGTCCTGGCTCTCAGGGCCCCATCTGAAATCACAAAGGAAAAATTCTGCTAGAACTGGCCAGGAAAAATTTGGCTGACTCACCTACAGAGCCAGGAGAACAGACTTTCCCTTCACACATTCTCGCCTCCCTTGGCTGCAGGTCCTCTTAAGAGGAACGGATGCTTCAGGAGGAAGTAAATTCCCCAGGAGGTAGCCTGAGTTCCTTTCTCTGAACCTTCTGCACCCTGCTCCTACCTTGCCATGTAGCTTTGTTTGATTATTTCCCCTCCATGTTTTTTTCCTCTGTGGGCAGAGGGAAATGTTGATCCTTCAAATTAATCTGCCTGCAGAGTTTCCTCTTTGTTCTTTCAGCTAAGCTGATCTTGTTTTTGCCATGTTATAAGCTATACAAACTTGGACAATTCACGTAACATCAAGGAGCCTCCTCTGTAAAATGGGATAAGGGTATACCAAAGATTTTTGGTGTGATAAAGTGAAATGCTACATTTAAAAGTATTTGGTAAACTGTAACTAAAAATAAACATGTAACAAAGCATGAAATGTGATTATTAGAAAATGTATCTCCTAGTCATAGTAAAAGGCAATGCCTTATCTGCGCTGTGCACTGAGTATTCTTAATTCATTTACATAAAGTGGAACACAGATCTCCAGAAGAGGGAGTGAGTGTGTGCTCTGGGGAGAGATGGGAGGAGGGATTAGGCAGCTTCCATAACCACAAGTCATATTCAGACATAGGGAATTCCTCCTGCTTTGTTAAAAGTCCTACAAGGTCTGTTAAAATGTTGCCTCATCCCAGAACTATACTCACATTTGACCTTTGTGAATGTCTCCAGAGAGGTGTGATTAATACCTGTTCATCTGTTTTACAGATGAAGAGGCTGATGATCAGAGAGGGAAGGAGATTTTCTTAGGTTCTCAGGGTAGTGAAGTTCAGTTTAGAAAATGGAATTTTTTGCTTTCTGATGAGGGCATGTTAATTTATCATATATCATATTACTTCTTTGTAACACAGAACATGCAGCTTCTCAACTTTTTTTTGACAATAAGCCACAGTAAGAAACACATTTTGCAGTCTACACTTACACACAAATATAGGACTGAAATGAAAACATCCTGACCCTTATACATAGTACATTCTAGTTTGTCCTGTTAATTAAAGAGTACTTATTCACAACTCATCAAATCAATTCACAACCTACTAGGGAATTAAGACTTGCAATTTGGAAGAACCTGATCTAGAAAGTTCTCAATTTCTACAGGATATATGATTGTTACAACTGATCATGATTTCAAATGAATATTATGAATCTGAGTAAATACACAGGAATATAAATCGATCTCAGAGAGTTCCACCAGCTAGGACATGTTGTCTAGTTCAAGCAAATTAATATGCTTAACTCTTAGAAAATGTAATTTTGAATGCTTTGAAATCACTGTATTAGTTTCTTTGTTCTACCACATCGTTAAGACAGTATTGCTCATGTACCATTATTATTGCCTCTGGACACTTCACTTCCCACCCACTTAACTTTCAACTCTTGAAGGAAGGAGCTAAACCTTATTTTCAGGACATGAAGCATTTTGCCTGATGGGTACCCCATAAAAATTGGTTCACTAAATAAATTTTTAAAAAACCAATGGTACCACATTCCTGCTATTTTCACTATTAAAAGTAATTTTAAGGGCTAGGGTTGTAGCTCAGTGGTTGAGCACTTGCCTCGTATGCATGAGGCACTGGATTCTATCCTCAGCACCACATTAAAAATAAATAAAAAAAGATATTGGAAAAAAAGTAATTTTAAGTCCAAAAGACCAAGACAACAACTTGATCTATGTAAAATCCTAGAATTAAAAATCAGATCAATTCCTATCGAATTGAGGGAGAAGTCATAAAGAAGGAAGGATAAACATGGTTCTCACTTTTTTCATTCAGACCTCCTTACAGAGGAGGCCTGTGCCCTTCAACTAAATGTCATCTTGTACTGAAGCTGCTTTTCTTTTCCTTTGGGGACTTGACTATTCCCTAATTTAGCCAAAACTTGCAGACCTTCAATACAAGTGACCAAATGCCACCAAAATGCAATGCAAGAGTATAAAGTGTGGCTCAGTGGACACCTTAGAAACTAAGTTAATGACAGCTCTCAGCAATGCACTTTGAAAGCACTGGTGGTTCTCTGTGCTGTGAATCCTTGCACTGATGAGAGTCAGGACTACACTCTCAGATACCTCCAGAGAGAAACCTGGGCAGCCCAAACAGTAGACAAAACTTCAGGTCCCAGCTACTGTCCTGCCAGGAGGTACCCTTGGATGCAAGTGCTAGTGTTCTCTCTGATAGGTCAGTGACAGCCAGCATCCCCAGGGCCCACAGGATGCCAGAATGACTCTACTGCTACATGATAAACTAGGGTGTAATGACAACTCTTTAGGCCTTTGCCTCTGGGAACGACAGAAGGCTACACTGATGTCCTCTTATCTGAACCAAGAAAGCTGGCCCTTATTGGCCCTTTTACACAGCCAGAGACAGTTCCTGTACCACCTCCACTGCCACACATGCTGAGCAAGGCTGAGAGATGCCAGAGGGAAGGGGTTGGACCAATGCCATCTCTTGTTTGCCTTTTGGAAATGAATCAGAGAGGAAAAAAAGGTATGCATTGTACTCCTTAAGGCTTTGCCCTGGATTTTTGTAGATAGTCATTAATAATGACACTACTGATACAAATTTAAAAACAAATATATAAAACCAGCTTCTTATTGACATGATAACTTAAAATAATATGATGTCAAAATGTTTTCCACATTTAGCTGTATTCTTCTGTTATTCCATGAAATAGAAATGCTTCTGAAAAAAAAAACTGTGAGCAAAATTAATAATTTAAATGTAGCTGAAGAGAATGAAAAGAATATGAGCTTTATGTTCAGGAAGATCTGGGTTTGATTGGGGGCTCTGGCCCATTCCAACAGGGGCAGATAAATGTATGAAGTCCCTGATGCCCAAGTTCCATAGGCTTACCATACAGGACTGCAGCGAGGACTAAATAAAAATGCAGCCAATTAACTTATTTTATGGATTAATTAGATCTTTTAAATTTTTGTTTAGTGGTGATTTTCAGTAAGTAAAAATGTGCTTATGTTTTATGTCAGCTTTCACGTATATTTCACATCTGGTTGTACAAAAATGAGATACAAAGTATTCTTCCTAACAATCCTTCAGGGATGATTGAAGCAGGGAAGAGAAAAAGATATTAACATTTTTTTTTTTTTTTACAATATGAAAAAAATTATTTTCACGGAGAGAGTGAACTAATTAACAAATGACGTTTAAGTCTGTTTTCTAACTTCAAATACCGGTAAGACCTAGAAGATGGGGCATGTAACATATGGATATTTCAGTTATTTTTGTCTTTAACTGAGACGAGTTTACTTAGAAACTTCTAAATCCATTAAAAGGGAAGGTAGTCTGCTTGAGGTCATGGAAGCAAGGCGAGATTAGCACCCTGACCATGCTCGGTGTCCCTCGGGCGGCACACGCACCTTTCTTTTCCTGGGAATGGGCTCGTCAAAGAGCAGGTTGCTGGCCTCCGCCTCGTCAATGCCATCGTCTGGCTGTGCGGGACTGCGGAAGGGCTTGAAGCTGTCGGCGGACAGCGGCGGCGACGGTGTGGACGGGTTGGACTGGTCGCTGGGGGCGCTCCAGCTCCAGTAGCCGCTGCTGCTGGTACTGGAGGGCACGCACCCGCCCTCTTTCCAGGATCCGCTGAGGCCCTCTGCAGGCACACAAACGCACGTCAGTGGGGCTGCTCCGCGGGGCCAGGTGCCGTTAGCCATCCCGCTCAGTAATTTACAACAGGTGGGTATGTAAGTTTTTATCCTATTTGTATATCCTCCCTCCCCAAGTCACATTATAAACATTTAGTTATTTTACTCATGTGACAAAATAGGTTCTTCTGAGTTCTCTGATGGGCAGCACTAGTTCCTTGGGATTGTGTGAAAAAAAAAAAGAGATTTTTCTTGTTCATGAAGTTTGGGGAGCTCTGGGTTTATGGACTGCAGTATATCTGGGAGGGATATTATTTACAGAATTCTCCCAAATTATTTGGTCACACAGTTCCCCACCCCCCACCTCATCCCAATTTTTTTTAAGGAAGGAAGGACTCATTAAATTGTTGATTTTAGGAATACATTATAGGAAGTCAGTTTATGATTTAAGATTCTAAAAGAAATGATTATTTTTGGGTAGTTACCTAAAGCCATTTCTCAAGCTGTCAAATAAGAGTTCCTTACATTCTCTGTGTGTTTTACATCTTACAAAGTGCACTGGCATCCTAGGTGTTGTGGCACTTGCCTGTAATCCCAGCAATTTGGGAGGCTGAGTTAGGAGGATTGCAGGTTCCCGGCCAGCCTTAGCAAGTTAGAGATATACTGTCTCAGAATAAAAAATAAAAAGGACTGGGAGTGTAGCTCAGTGGTAAAGCCCCACTGGGTTCAATCACCAGTACCAATCAATCACCACCAAAGCTCACTGGCAAAGGCTCAAGCACTGTTACATCTGCCTCTCAGAGGAAAGGTTATTCCAATCTTACAACCGAGGACTTAAGGCAGCAGGAAGTTAAATGACTTGCCACTTGACTAGTAAGTGTGATCCTGGTGGGTCTGGGGTCCAAGCCCTAGTCATTGATTTAATGAGTGCATGTGAATCCTATGCATGTCCTATATTTTCTCTGGCAAACTGGGATCAGGTAAGAATTGGCAATAATAAGTGATAAGATTGGTGTTTAATTTTACCTTTCCTCTTGTGGTGGAAAACACTATGGGAAGGTTTTGCTAATGGAGAGGGTGTTTTTAATCACCGAAGGTTTGCTTTACTTCTCAAAATGCCCAATCTTAATTAGCATTTGTATGAATTCTACTTTCTTTCTGGATAACTTCTCTTCCATATTTATGTGTATTTTGAATATATTAAAACCATACTATTCTAACTACAAGGAGGAAAAAAAAATCCCCAAATGCCTCATTAAAAAATACTATTAATGTCTGTATAATTAGTAATGAAGTCAAGACTAGCATTCATGGAGAAACTCAACTACCTTATCTAATTATAGATTTCCAGCATATACCTTAACTATGTCAAGCAAAAAGTTTAGTTAAAGGCATGATGTTTTAAAATGAAAATGAAGTGGCCCAGTTCATTATAACAAGGTGCTAAAATCAAATGGTCATTTATAGAGGCTCACACCCTGCCAGCAGAAAAGCCAAATTATCATCTCACTCCCTATATTCTAACAGACCGATAACCTTAGTGGTTATCATCAAGAAAGCTCCATTCAGGATAACAGCACGTCAAGGGGAGCCCATGGACAGCCATAGGTGATGTTGCTTGGTGTGAAAAACCTCACTTGGAAAGCCCAGGTGGCTAATAAACACACCCCAGTATGCACTTGTACAACAGAATCAAGCTCATGGTGCTAGATGTGTAATCACGTTAAGTGTGAGGAATTGAATTTATTTTGAGAACTATTAATATAGTTGTGATTACATTGCTTCACATCATTGCCAAAAGCTAATTTGCTTATCGGTGAGTGATATTTCCTTTAGGAACACTATTAAATCCGAAGGAAAAAATGATACAGAATTGAATTTTTCAGAACAAGTCAGAACTGATTCACTGTTTTCTTACTGGGCAGTTGTCTCCATATCTTATACAAGTGTTTGCCAAGAATGCAGACAGGCACTGCTGGACTCGCACCCTCTTTGCAAACCCACCTCTTGATAGAATGATCCTTGTCAGGCAACGAAAGGATCACAACAGTTTCCAAAAATTCACTGATATACAATAACTCTGGAGAACATTTTTTTAATTCCTAAAAATGAATGCTTATTTAGAAATGTGTTTCCTGTTGCAGACTAAATGAGAGATATCAGACAATTTGGGGTTATTAGTTGAGTAGGTATTTTTTTAAACCATAAACAAACACCGAGTTACTCCATTACTATTGCTAACAAAAGTTTGCATTGAAGGATCAAAAGGTTTATTTTAATTCTAACCTTTAAATACAAAGGAGCACTAAAAATATTCTCTATTAAAAAAATCCAATGGTAAAAATAATGATTAATTTAAAATATATCTTTTTTCTCATAAAGGATTCCACCTTTTCCCCTAAAATATGTTGTGGGGGTGCCTCTAGTTTTGCTCTTAGTATAATACTCCTTTTCCAGTACTGAGAGACTGAGAAAGGCAAAATCAGGATTCTTTTTTTGCCAAGAGGCCCCCCAGAGAGAAGTCATTTCACTGAACCAACCAGAGAGGCCAGCCTAATCTCAAGAGAACCTGGCCTCCTCCAGTACCTAAGTAAGGGGAGTCACCCAGGTTACAGTAAATCAAGCTGCTGGGCATTTATTAACTCCAATATTTGAATTCCCAGCATCTTAAAAGTTCTTTCCACTTCTAATGGGGTTGGAATAGATTTGGATGAGGACTGAGTGGATGTTCCACAAATTTATATGAACACCTCAAGTTTACAACCAAACTGTATGTGAACCATAGCTCCATCTCATGATTGACTATGCTGGTTTTTCTGTCACTATTAAATACCATTTGGGGGACTCAGTATGTTACATTTTGGCAAACAGAAATCTGGCTTCCTCCCATGGGTAATTCCCTGTGAATGTTCTTGTCAGAGCTGCCAGTGACATTTTCCTGATGCAGAATGCAGTCCCTTTTATGCTTGACCCTTGGAAGCATTGGACATCTCTCCTTGAAACATGCTCTTCCATGAAACTTCACTCTCCTGGTTTTTCTCTACCTCTCTGGTCACTCCTTAGTCTCTTCCTGGGCTGTCTTTCCTCTGCCAGTTTTTACATGATGGCAGCCTCATCATGGGGCTTGCTTCTATACAGTTCTTTCAAGAGAGAACTGTGTGTTAACCGTGTGTTGACTCACAGCTTCAACACATTACCTTCTAATTCTATACCAACAGTGCAGATCTCACTCCCAAGGCTACACCCAGATCTTCACCAGCTGTTGCCTGTGCAATGATCTTAGGTCTATTTTGAAGCATGTCTGGGACAGCCTATCATCTTCAGCAAAACCATCTCTTACCCTAAACGTTCACCAATAAATCCATTTCTCTGCCTTTGTTCCTTATCCCTTGCTGAAGCACACCATCTGCCTGGAAGTCATCCCTGACACATCCTGTCCTTCATCCTCTCTGTTGATTCTCCATTATTTCACTTTTTCAATTGTGTCTCATTCAGTTGCACTGTGAACACCAAGGTTCTGGCCACCTATGTGTATTGTATGGCTTATTATTATTTTTCTGTAATCCTGACCCTATCTTTTTGCTCTCTGAATACTTAGTAACTCTTACAGTCTCAGTATAAAGTCCCAACTGCTAGCCAGGTAGGCATGACCCATCAGGGTAAAGCTCCTGGTTCATCTATCCAACTCCATTGCCCACTGCCTGTCCTCCTGATTTATCATGCTGTATTTTATGATGCAAAACTATTATATTATCATTAAGAGAGCAGGATCTGCAATCAGAAAGATAGGGACAGAATTTCGGTTCTGCCATTTACAAGCCAATTAATCCCTATGCACCTCAGTTCACTCATCTGTAAAACAGTGATAACAACATCACATAGAATTGTTGGAGAATTACATGAGATAAAGTAAGCATAGTACCTGGCACACAGTAAATGTTCAATAAATAAATGTTACCATTAATGTGGCTATGATTGATAGTCTGTTTTCCCAAAGAGATTATGTACTATCTGGAAGTGTGGACACTATTTTCCAATGATGTATTCAAATCATCCAGATGGAACCTGATAAATATAAAATTAATGAGTGGACTAGATAATCCTGTTTGATTCAGGAGTCTGGAATAATGCTTTTAAATAATATTTAGTCTTCACTGAGTTCTTTAATCCAACTACCTCCCCATCAAATAGAAATAATGCTAGGGAAAATAACTTTATTAGGCCAATCTTCATTTACCTGGGAAAAAGGAACTCAAGTACTGCAAAGAAATGTTCTGGAAAACACGGCAGAAAGGTGGTGACGTGTGAGGTGAAGTGTGGAGGCCAGATGTGTCAATGTGAGGTGAATGGGTGCAGGACAAGACTCAGTGGGGTTTTGGGGAAGATGTGGAGGAGGCCAGTAGCCCTGGGGTCTCTATTTCTTTTGCATTTTTCTCTCCTTCACGATCAATTGTTCACTTGAGGAAGGAGAATGACAGGAGAGGCCCTGTCATTGGTGGCAAGAACACTTCCTAAGCCCACGCCCTAGGCTTACCATTTGGCCGCACAGGAGGACTTCGAACCAAAGGGCTGGTTGACAAGCTGGTGAGTACCATCGCTGCTGTCACCTTGTCCATGTCCAGTTCCTCTGAAGATTTCCTGTAAGACAGGATGGGGCACTGTTAACCGTGTCACTTTGCATCTACTGTGGGCTAAGGCCACCCCATTTCCTTTTTTTTTTTTATCCCCATGAAAATTATTTTAAGGATGAAGAAGCTGAAGGCGAAGAGGTTAAATGACTCAGTCAAAGTCATACATATGAAGAAGAGGAGGATTCTTTCATTTGTTGTTCATCTCACAACATTTATTGAGAGTGCTGATGGGCAAGGCACAAGTGACAGCTGGTGAACAGGGGACAAGGTTCTTGCCTTCATGGAGCTCCTAGGCTGGTGGGAAGAAACACAATGACTAGTAGGTAAACCCACCAAAAGGAACAAAATAACATCTGACACTGGCAGGCTGTACAAAGGGAAGACCTGAACATGACTGTGGGTGGGCTGCACTTAAGGTGGTCAGGAAATGCCTCTCTGAGGAGGTGACACATGAGGTGAAGTGTGGAGGCCAGAAGGAGCTGGTCCTGAGGTGATGTGCACACTGAGCAGAAGCATCAGCCCATGTGGAGGTGAGGCATCAAGAAGGTGCGTGGCAAGTCACAAGAGTGACCCATCAGTGAGAAGGGGAGACTGGTGCAGAGCTGGTCATGCATGTGTGGTCTGGTGGCCGGGGTGGTATTTCAGTTTTATTCTAAGTGGAATGGGAAGTCACTGGAAGAAATTTTAGCAGGCCTAGTGACACAAGATGACTCATATTTGTAAAGTAATACCTGAGCTGCCATATGAAGAATGGACATTAGGGGAAGCAGAATAGAAAAGGGAGAGCAGTTAGGAAGTGATTGTTAGGAGTTTAGATGAGAGAAAGTGGTGTTGTGGACCAGGGTAGGGGAAGTAGCAGGAGACCTGGTGGGTCTAGCTGCTGCCCTGGGTAGGGAGATGAGCAAATGAGAGAGACTGGATGGTTTCAGGTGTTGGCTTGAGCATTAGCCATTTACTGAGATGAGACAGGAGGAGAAATGCAATAGGGGTGTTTAAACTTCAGTTTTGTTTCTTTTTTACACTTTGCTAGAGGAAGAATAGGTCACAGGAATAATTATTATGTTGTTAAAGAGAAGAGCCCTTAGTAATCATTCTCTGAGATGGAGAGGTGGCTCTAGTTCATTGATTTTGGTCAGTTAACCCTGAATAAAGTTTCATAAGGTAATGGTCATGGTGGTCAGACTCAGCTTCTTTATGCCGATTTCAATAACACAGTGAAAACCGAGGGGCAAAAATTTTGTAGTACATTCACATCAAATAAATTATACCACTTCCTGAGAGATGAACATTTTCCAATTAGGGAAGAACTGAAGAAGCACAATCGAGGATTAATAAGCCATATCTGCAAATGAATTCTCACTTCAGCAAATGTGGCTTTCATTCACAGGTGTGCTGTATAATTTATAAAACCAAAGAACTTTTAGAACTTCATACCATTGCATTACAACACAGTAGTGGAGAGAAATTCTTAAAACTGGAGAAAATAAAGTGGTTCCCAAATGGAGAAGCTGCTCAATTAATTTCATCAAGTTACAAAAATCATTCCAGGTTGGCTCTCTGATATCCACCTGGATACTAAATTATTCAGCAAAGCCTACTCTTTCAACTCAAGGTACCAAAAAAGATGGAAAGCTTTGAAATTTTCCTTTATAATTCTTCTCAAAGCACCTTATGCTCTTTCTCAGGGAACTGTTGCATGAAAAGACAAATTACTTGTTTCAGATGCTGGCAATTGAATATACTTCTCTAAAGCGAACTTGAGAGTGCAAGGTGAAATTCCCTTCACAGAAGTTTGAGAGACAATTTCATACACTTAAGAGGAAGGAAATCCTGCTCATTTATCTGGCATATGATTTAAGATTTTCTAGTAGTTGCAATTTATGACATCCTGCTACTTGTGAGTGCAGGTGATACCAGTTTCCTGCAGCAATGAAATCTCTTGAAATGGTACCAGGGAAAGAATGAAAAGCACCTTCAGGTAATTCTGACTGTTTTGTTGGCTCAGTTTCTCATGCAGTCCTGGTCACAGAGGGAATGAAAAAGCTGGAGACCTTGAAGGAGAAAGGCTCACTAGATGGACTGCTATATAGATCACTGGGCTTCTCCAGCTCCAGGTTCATAACAGCGTGAAGTACACTGGGCAGGTACTTCCATTGGTAATTCCAAGACTCGGTTATAGGAGAGGCTGACTTCTCTGTCCATCCATCTCTTATTCTCTAACAAAAGGTTTGAGAACCAGGATGTGAGACTCTGGTACAGGGGAAAGACATGATTTTGTAAGGAGACAGTCTCCTTGCCTTCTCCCCTGATTCCTAAAGGGACTTGCTGGACAGGCCTGCCTTTTCCCTCTTCTACATTTTGGTTTTAGGGACCTTTTCTTCCCTCCTTCCTCAATTTGCTTTGGATCTTTTCTTGATTTTCTACATATAAGATAAATATTTTTATTTTAGCGGTCTGATAAAATTTAAAAGCTGGTTTATGTGAATTTTTTAAAATATGAAGATCAGTGGGGGAATGCATCATTATAAAATATGCATTTATTTTGCATTGTCAAAATCTATCATTACATTTAATAATTATTAAGTATTATAAAGCAGATTTTCAATGAAGAATGAAAAGAAGAATAAACATTAGTGTAATCAGAGTGCGTCTCTATCTGATGCACCTTTAAGTTTCCCAATGCATTGGTGGCCACTAACAACAACAAAATCAAAGGAATACATGGCTAATGATCCAGATAAACTGTGTTTCTTAGGGAGTATTTTAACCATGCTACATGAAATGTTACCACATGATATGGCCTTCTGCTGAGTTGTATATTTGTTTTTATCTTTGTTTAATTTCTTTTGGTACAGTACTATCTAATTACTGATTAATTGGTGCTTCAAATTCAAATCCTTATAATTAAACATGAAGAGATGACATACAAAGTAGAATTTGTTTCACTTTGAGAAAACTGCTGTAAAGGCCTTCTGGTAGATTTAGAATTGTTGAACAGAAAGACACTAGAGGGGATATTAAGTATTCTCTCCTAATCCTGAAATTAAATTTTAATCTACTATTGAAAACTTTATTGATCACATAGTTTTATTAAAGGCTGAGACCTTTTCAATTAATCTTTCCTTCTTGAACATTATGGAAATTCATATTTGAAAATTTATTTTCCGTTTTTTAAAAAATTCTTTTTAGTCATGATACAATACCAGATACACCTTGACATAATCACAAAAGCATGGCACCCAACCCACTCTGATTCAGTCCCAAGCACTCTCCCCAACCCTCCCTCCACTCTACCAATCCCTCTTCAATCCATTTACAGTTTTCTTTTTTTTTTTTTTTTTTAAATTAGTGTCTTGTGGACACATCCATGCATGCACATTTGGAAGTTAAGTCACATCCATTCCACTGTTCTTCCCTTTTCCTGTCCCTTCTTCTTTCTCCTCAATGCCCCTCATCTACTCTACTGATCTTTCCTCTATTTTGATGAACAACTTTCCTTTCTTTTTTGTACTGGGAATTGAACCCAGGGTTGTTTAACCAATGAGCCACATCCCCAGTCCCCCATTGGTTTTTTTGTTTGTTTACATTTTACTCAGAGACAGGGTCTCACTGAGTTGCTAAGTACCTTGCTAAGTTGGGGAGGCTGGCTTTGAATTTGCGATCATCCTCAGACACTCGGAATGCAGGTGTGCGCCCCGTGCCCAGCTCCACTTGTTTTTTCCTTTCTTGTTTTTTTTTTAAAATTAAAAAATATCTATACATTTTTACCCCTCCTCCTATTTTGGATTAGCTTCTGAATATCAGAGAAAACATTCAACCTTTGACTTTCTGGGACTGAGTTGTTATTTTAAAATAATAGTAATGCTCATTATCACTCTTCATGCCGTTTGTCTCCAAGCTGACCTGGCTTCCACGGATGAGCAGGATTTCATGAAGGGAGGTCACATGTGGGGAGTGAAGCAGGCCACCTTGGCTCGCTCAGAGACTGTGTAGGATTCCCATGAGAAGGAGTGGTGGGGAGGTGGTGGTAGGGGGACCAAGCCTGGGCGTGGTCTCAGGAACTCATGTTTCATACCAAGTGGTTTCTTGTATTGTAAGAAGAGAAAAGGCACTAAACATACAGGAACCTTGGAGAGAGATGATCAATTTTTTATTTTAGAAGTATGTCAAAAAGAAAATGTAATAGAAAGGAAAACCAAAGGCAGGTTATTCGCCTGAGTAAAGTCTCAATTCAAACTCAAAAGGATCAGACTCCAAGGGACGCAACAGATTCTATTCAGGCTGATAACAGGTTTCTTTGAAGGATTTGTTCTTACCTCTCCAGGAGAGGCAGTGAAGGCAATGGTTCAGACTGCAGCTCTGGAATGAGGGAGCTGGGCTGGCTTTAGAGCCAGTCTCTGCATTACTACGTGTGTAACCCTGGGTAAATTCCTTAACTCTAAGTGAAAACTGTTTCTTCATCTGCATAAGGAGCATAAAATTAGGTTTGTTGAGAGGATTAAATGAGCAAACACATGTGAGCACCAATGTGCGCCTCCCCACAGTCCAAGTTCCACGATGTTTACTGTTATCGATCTTCAAATTCACAAATACACGCAAGGCATGAATCCCCCTGTGAAAGGGGCAAGTGTTAGACCATTCCACTCACTCTTCTTTTCAGCACCAGCACTAGGAGTTGTTGCTTTTCTTTTTGAGGAGAATGTGGTGGGTAGATGATGTTATTTTTCAAAAAGTACAAAACTGTTATTACAACCATGTAAATTCCTCTGTAAGAGGAGGGAACTGGCAGGTAGAGAAGCAGCGCTGGGGCCCTCACTAGGGCTCCAAGTCAGTGCTGTGGCAAAGGTATATCTCATTACATCCTGAGTCTTGGCCAACTCCACAAATAGCCAAAGCCTAGAGTGGCTGCCTGGATTCATGCTTGGGAGTTCCTGCTTTCAGTCCTCCGGCTGGAGCACATGCTGTGTCCTGGAGGCTGCAGTAGATTAGAGAATTACAGCCTCTGTA